TTTTAACAGTGTATGTTTGTACACTCAAGGCAATTGGTGTTTTATTATTACGTAACACTATATTTTAATAGTGTATGATGTACGACTCAGACATGGTGTTTTATATTATGAACAAATACGTTAATAGTGTATGATGTACGACTCAAGCAATGGTGTTTTATATTACGAACACATATTTTAATAGTGTATGATGTACGACTCAGACAATGGTGTTTTATATTATGAACAAATACGTTAACAGTGTATGATGTACGACTCAAGCAATGGTGTTTTATATCGACAAGTTGATGAATCATGTGCAAAATTGGTGTACCGAGTTTGAATTTTGCGAAAAGAAGAATACTTGTATTTTACAGTACGCACAAATCTTTGACTTCACAACTTGACAATAAATTATACTTGTGAGTAACACACTTTCTACGTTTATAGAAACTTTGAAACGAAGGGAGACAGTCTAGTCAACTAGCCAAACATTCACCCGCTCGAGAAACAGATAACAAACTAGGAAAGATACCATAAGGTAAAGATCAGAAAATCGTACGACATAACAATACTTATCAACATAAGACCATCTTTCACACGTTTCAGACGCCCTTCCCAACTCTCCTTCGGCTTATCTCCTTCTTATTCCCCCCTCCAGTTTCGAGTGTCCAACTAAATAAGCTTCCTTGAAGGGGGTGATTCACACGCCCCATTGTTAACCCCGCGTGAAATACCCAGCCGGAATTAAAAGGTTCATTTGTCAAAACCTAGGTACTGAATGAGGAAGGACGCCCACCAACTTCGTCGCCTTCACTGAGGGGAGTAAATTGGGACAGTGGCAATGCGTTTTCCTCTCAACGACCCCCTCCTGTGCCATTGGGCATGTTCATAGCACCTGGTTAAATCTAGTACAGTGCAGAGCAAAGATAACGTAGTTATGCATGTTGTAAACTTAAAGATTTATCTTGCAAAATCTATTATCTTAAAAGTCTGTTTTATATACTTAAGCTTTGTTTGTCCATCCTCGTAAAAGCCAAAAGTGCTTTGCAATATATGTGTGTAATTTTTCTATAAAAAGCACTCTATATTCAGGTATTTTGTAAATTAAAAACTTTAATAAAAGCTAACGTCCTCCAGTAGCCTTGGCTGGTGCAGCAAAAACTTGTACAAGTATGGATGAGGGTTGAACAAGTTTTTGTAACAGCAATTGCCTTGCAAAGCAAGACAGGTATTTGACATTCCTAGCATGCTGATCTCCTCTCATCGGCGATTAGGATCGAGATAACGCAGATCCTCCCAGCTAGAGGCGACGCTGCTTGCGGCTCTATGTCTTTTCGGATTGGTCATTGGAAGTCACGTGATCCTTGGATCCAGCTGAGACCTTGTAGACAAGCGACAACAGAGATTTCCAAAGTTTTGAGCGTATGTATGAACAGAGCTACCCACCGCAAGAGGGATGCTTCTTACTTGAACACGCACGCGCGCCAGCGCTTGTCTATCTTGCACTTGGAACAGAACACAGTTTTTTCCTTCGTCTGTACACTGTCGGTTAGATATGTTTTTATTTAGATAAAGTGAACAAAAAATTTATTTTTACCGTTAAGAGCTTTATTGAGCACAAGTTACATATCCGTAGCATTCTTTGTCTATTTTGACCTTGACTTATATCCGCTTTACGATGATGTAGTAAATCTAGTAGACGTTGTCATCTGTAGTGCCAAACGAACAGAATATATTATATATATATATATTAATAACATCTCATATCTGAGTTAAATACAGTTTCAAGATGGAGCGTTTTATCGTCTTGGGGCTGCTACTGAACGGTGTCCAAATGGGCTTGACATCAACTTATTTAACCGACTGGAATATGGTGGGTAGCAGGTTGACCCAACCAACCTGTGTGGACATACCCCAGAATTTAACCCTCTGCCACGGTATCGGGTACACACAGATGAGACTTCCCAATCTGTTAGGGCACGATACGATGATCGAAGTCGCTCAGCAGGCTGGACCCTGGGTGCCTCTTTTCAATCTCAAATGTCACCCGGATACACAGTTATTTTTGTGTTCGCTGTTCTCGCCAGTCTGCCTGGACCGACCGATCTATCCGTGCCGTTCCCTATGCGAGGCCGTCCGTCAAGGCTGCGAGAGAAGGATGAATATATACGGATATCCCTGGCCGGACATGGTCCGTTGTGACCAGTTTCCCTTGGATAACGACATGTGCATCGCCGTGCAGTCTCCTATTGATGGAGGTAAGTGGCAGTCGAGGGATTATTTCATAATTTGTGTTCTTACCATATTTGTTATTTAGACGTAACAATGACGTGGTTAACTTTAAAACTCAGTTTTTGATTCTTAACGAGAAAAATGTTTATTAGTAACTTTATTATCTGTTCTCAGTTTCGCGGGGTATTTGTTTATTTGCCAAATTTTAAGATTGTCGTTATGTGTTCGGGGATTCTTTACCTTTCAAAATTTAGCTATCGTCGCACTAAAACAAATACAATACTGTTATTAGGTTAAGACAAAAAGAACAAGAATATTGGAAAGTTCAAACATGACTAATCAGGCTGTTTTTTTGTTGTTTGTTTTTCTTGTTAAAACGCACCCAATCGGACTATCATCGCGTTAACATATAACTAAAGCCTAGGAACTATTTTTATTATTTTTTTGGTTTGAACATAACCAATGGAACTGTTTTCTCAGTTATAGTAAAATCATCTAATTGTAATATTGACACGTTAAAATGTATTTAACTACACTGTAGCCTAAGTTCGAAACGTGTATGTAGATCGTCTGTTTTGAGGCCGTTGATCGGTCTTAGAAAACAATATTTAATTGTGTACTAAAAAACTTTGATCATTTACGTGTTTTAATAGCCAAACATGTCACGCTGAATATAAGTAACTGGACCATTGTCATGTTACAAATATAATAATCTTACTTATCGAAGTATTGTTAATTTTAAACATAACTAGCCTTATTAATAATTTTTAAGTTTAGAAATAACAGACTCAACTACTTGCTAGTCTAAACGCCACAAATGTGCTATTGCCACGATAAAAACATCAGACAAGGTTGTTATCATGTTAGAGTTAAACTATAAGTTAAATATAAACAAAATACTCTCTTGTTAGAGTAAAACATATTTAATTGATTGATCATCATGTTAAATCACGGTAACATTACTTTTAGTCTTTAGATAAAGATGGATAAGACAACATGATAATATTAGTTATCAAACTTGTCTAGCTCAAATCAAAAGCGTTGGGTAACCAATATGTTCTAATTTATGTGCTTTAATATAGATCATGAAAGGATTTAAAACAAGTGAATGTTTTAAAACTCAGTATTATGTTAAATTTGTAGAAATTTTTGATTTATTTTAGTTTCTCAAGACTATTGTAAAGTTCAAAGTTTTTTTGTTTTTACTTATTGTTAAAACGTTCCCAATCGGAACGTCATCACGTTAAAATATACTGAGAGTGGTAAACGTCTTGAGGAACGAAATACAGAGAAACTTTTTTCATTAATGTACCAGTTATTATCTAAAATTATAGTTTCTACGTTTGTATTTCTTCCTGAGATCCACTAGGCATGTGGCTAAAGATGAAATATAATGAAACTCGAGTGTTTTTGTATTGGTGGGGATATTTTACGGGTACAATGATTTATTATTCGATTTTAAACTAATCTGAAGATAAAGGTTGGAAATGACTCGCATAATGGTAATCTAGCGGTTGAATAATGTAATACAAAAGAATAAAAAAACTAACGCTCGTGGTGAAAATGATTTATGCGGAGCGTATTATAATGCGTGTGAATAAAAGAGAGAATGAAAAAACTCGTATCGTAGTGATTTACGTATTAATAATACAATAAGAGTTATAAAGCAAAAGATGAGCGGAAAAGATAGTCACGTAGTTGTGGTTTAGTTGTAGAATAATAAAAAGATAGTCATGTAGTTGTGGTTTAGCTGTAGAATAATAGAAAGATAGTCATGTAGTTGTGGTTTAGCTGTAGAATAGTAGAAAGATAGTCATGTAGTTGTGGTTTAGCTGTAGAATAATAGAAAGATAGTCATGTAGTTGTGGTTTAGCTGTAGAATAATAGAAAGATAGTCATGTAGTTGTGGTTTAGCTGTAGAATAATAGCGTACATACGACTGAACAAAGGTAAGGCGTAGGTGAGTCATGTGGTGGTAATTTACTGGGAGAATGATGATGATCTCAGTGTGTGACTGAATAAAGGTAAGACTATATAAAGAAATACATACTGTAGTGTTAGTACAGAAAAAAAAAAGTGTAACTAAAGAAAGTACGAAAAATCTCACGAGGGATTTATTAATACTAATTCCAAATTATTATCGGTAACATAAAAAGTATTTTGTTTATCAGCAATTAAAATACTGTACGAATACATACACAATCGATATTCTTGCCTAATTGATTAAACATGCTAGGATGATGAATAAGAATGAAATTTCTGTTATCATAGGTGAGAAATAAGTTATTTTAAAATTTAAACTTACGACAATAAAAATGAACGATATACCAAATTATCTGATATCCTCCCGAAAAGAAATACAAAGTCCCCCTGCGTGTTCTACTAACAGTGGTGAAGTCTTGAGGGCCAAAGTATGGGGAAATAAATTATCAAAGTAACAGTTATTACCCACAATCGTTGAAGTGTATGACATCGATGATTTTTCGACTATGGGACAAAAAAAAAACAGTAGTAAGTTGACATTTCGACTGTGAGACAAAAAAACAGTAGTAAGTTGACATTTCGACTGTGAGACAAAAAAACAGTAGTAAGTTGACATTTAAGGAAACTCTTCATTTCTTAACCCCATAACTACCGACTGGGTCTTTGGGCCATATTGCCTTTTTACAGATCTTTTTCTAAATTGTTATAACGCGCCATCTTGCTTATAATTTCATTATTATTATTTTTTATGTAGGGTCCATAATAAAATATAAACAAAAATACCACCAATATTACAATTAATTCTACGAATTACCGCTGGGGTCCCGTAAGTGTATTTTATATAAAAACTGAGTGATTTTAATATCATGCAACATGTGAACCCCTACCGGTAATGAGTAGTATAAATACAAATACATAATTTGAAGATTAAAACAAACAAATATATTTGCAAAAAGCTGGATATGCATTGTAAAATTTTCAGATAGTTCTAACCCGTTTTCTCTTTTTTCCAAAACTCGCATTTTTTTGCTAAACTTTATTACTTTCTTATGAAATACAGATAGGGTTAGTATCACTCCAACATAAAGAATGTGAGTTTGTGTTACTCCACTGTAAAGAAATGGGTTTGTATCAAGTATAAAATCAAAATTTGAAAAAAATACAAAGTTAAAACAAGGAACAAACGTAACTGTAGAAATATGTCAAAAAATCACCAACGAGTTAATAATCATTCTAATAAATTTAATACATTTCATGACCTTTTTGGTTTCATTAAGACATCGTAATATAATGTGTAATTAGAAATTTGTGTGATTGTATTGTTATGATAACATTTATGGCATTTGTGTTTATTTATCGTTATGTGATAATTGTATAACCCCTAATTACAAATTGTTTATGCTTATATCGTTACAAAATATGCGTTGTTGTTACATGGGAATGATATAACCCACTTTCAAGGATGGATTGCTATATCGTAAAGACAACTTTTTTTGATAAGTTTCAAGTTGGTATATATATTATTTACATGCAGGTGTACTTGTGAAGGGTAGAGAGATTTCGGTTGTCTTAACCGTTGGGATATCATTTGATTCTATTTTGAAATTTGACCGGTATTTTTATTCTTTTTTTTTTGGCATCGTACGTCATCAAGGGAAGACTTGCTGTTTTATATCTTTATAATCTATTAGAAAGAAAAGGCTTAGTTTTCATAAACATATTTGTGCTTTCCTTGGCGTCTGGTATTGAGTTCTCTTTCGTTTAACCTCGTTTTATCCATCGATGACGTAAATCCTGATATCTTTCATTAGTTGGTGGCTCTCCATTATATAGGATTGGTTAAAAGAAGCCACGTGGCCTACCCCATGCAGTTAAAACACACCGCTCTAGCGACATGAGAGAATTTAAAAACCGTGGGTTAAGATCTAGGTACAGATCTTGTTGGCTACGAGGGAAGAAGAACGATAGATGTCGCTGGTCTTTTCTATCAAAACGCGAACGCTTACTGGGCCTTTCTTGTCTGTCGTTTGACAGGTGTATTTTTCTGATCATCGAAAAAAGAAAGATTTAGCTAGTCGTTATGTGACCAAAGACACGTACATTTAACTACCAGAGATGCTGACGGAGTGCACAATAATCTTGCATCATGATTGGACTTCATGTTGACATTCTATCATCTTCAGAAGCATATGAGTATCTGTAGATATAATATGGCCTAGTTCGATAGGAACTTTGAGAATACAAACCAGGAAACATGAAATGGTTACTTTTCCTTCAGCAGGTGTTTCTGATGAGTGGAATTTTAGCCGGCATGGGTTTGTCATACCAAACTACCTGGAACTTGTCGGGTATGAGGACAACCTCGCCGCCGTGTGTTAAAATTCCTCAAAAACTTACCCTTTGCAGTGGTATCGGATATGACCAGATGCGGCTTCCTAACTTGCTAGGCCACGACACGATGGTTGAAGTAGCCCAACAAGCTAGTCACTGGGTGTCTCTTTTGAATCTCAAATGTCACCCGGACACACAGTTGTTTTTGTGTTCGCTGTTCTCGCCAGTCTGCCTGGACCGACCGATCTATCCGTGCCGTTCCCTATGCGAGGCCGTCCGTCAAGGCTGCGAGAGAAGGATGAATACATACGGTTATCCCTGGCCGGACATGGTCCGTTGTGACCAGTTTCCATTGGATAATGACATGTGCATCACCGTACAGTCTCCAGTAAGTGATGACAAAGGTGAGTTAAACGTTATTTATCGGGAATACGGTTATAAGGAAATAAGATCTAAAGGAATCTTACGAACCAAAAACACGAATAAAAGGATTGTTCATTAAATACATTTAGCTTTAGCTGCTTAGTGGATTTATTCACAACAATGAAACACTATCTCAGATATATATAGCATTCTTTGAAACCCTAAGCGACCAAAAACAAACAAACAAAAAGAAATAAAAAAACTAACGAAACAGAAAAATCAAATTTGGCGAACTTAATTAATGAAATTAAATCTTGTGTGCAAGATAAATTATTCCAGAAGTTATCTA